AAAAAAAAAAAAAAAAAAAGAATACAGAGAGCCTAATAAACTTCTTGCTCAGAAGCCTAGAAGGGTACACAAAATGCCTTCTAAACTGGAAAACAAGGCTGGACATGGTGGCTCACGCTTGTAATCCCAGCACTTTGGGAGACCAAGGCAGGTGGATCACCTGAAGCCAGGAGTTCAAGACCAGCCTGGCCAACATGGTGAACTCTCTCTACTAAAAATACAAAAATTAGCCGGGCATGGTGGCGTGAGCCTGTAATTCCAGCTACTCAGGAAGCTGAGGCAGGAGAATTGCTTGAACCCGGGAGGTGGAGGTTGCAGTGAGCAGAGATTGCACCACTGTACTCCAGCCTGGGTGACACAGTGAGACTCCATCTCTAAAAAAAAAAAGCAGGCCAGACGCAGAGGCTCACACCTGTAATCCCAACACTTTGGGAGGCCTAGGTGGGTAGATCATCTGAAGCTAGGAGTTTGAGACCAGCTTGGCCAACATGGTGCAACACTGTCTACACTAAAGAAATAAAAATAAATAAATAAATGCCCTCCTCCCCCAAAACAAAACAAAAAAACAGCGGGGCTCTTAATGTTACTTATTCTAACTCACTTCCTGTAAGACTCAATTTTGTAGTATCTACTCTTCAAGTTGCTGTACCCTCTGTGACAGCAATTCCTGAAATCTGCAGTTGAGCTGTGCTGATCTTAAGCATGTGTTGAGTACACGCAAATTCAATGTCGTTGATAATGTGTCCATGATCAAATCATCATCTTGCAATGCAAGGGCTGCCCCATAATTATCACACATTAAAATAGTTTATTTCTTTTTCCATTCTGTAATCTTAAAATAATATCAGCTTCAGTGCCTGTTCACAATACAAAAAAAGTCAAAAAACAAAAAAAACACCCAAAACATAAAAAAGAAACAATTTGCCAATAAGTTATTTGTACCTAAAAGTATCAAAAGTGCAAAATATTCACCTTCTTTTCAGATCTCTCCCAAGTATAATCATCCTCCTTGACAGACTGAACAGATTCAGCAGCTGCCACACTGCGTTTGTTTTTAAGGGACAATGTCAGACATGTGGATGGGAACTACAGTTCATCTGTAAAGATGTTTGGCATCAGCTTTTAAATAATTCTATTTAAGACCAGGCATGGTGGCTCACGCCTGTAGTCCCAGCACTTTGGGAGGCTGAAGCAGGTGGATCATGAGGTCAGGAGTTTGAGACCAGCTTGACCAACATGGTAAAACCCTATCTCTGCTAAAAATACAAAAATTAGCTGGGCGTGGTGGCATGGGCCTGTAATCCCAGCTACTCAGAAGGCTGAGGCAGGAGAATCGCTTGAACCCGGGAGGCAGAGGTTGCAGTGAGCTGAGATCACGCCACTGCACCACAGCCTGGGCAACAGAGTGAGACTGAATCTCAAAAAAAAAAAAAAAAAAAAAAGGATTCTACTTAATCAAAAAAGGTCTGAGTATGTGCTTCCAATCTCTATTCCCAAACAAAGGAAATCACTAAAAAAAAGTCAGATTATACTTCTTTTGTAACAGAAAAACATTTATGTAATGATGGCAGCTGCAAATTGATTGGGGCATTAATAAATAAAAGGGAACAAGTATCAATAGGCTGCAAACGAGGAAAAAACCAATCTACCTGAAAACTACAACCAAATTCTCACGGCTAATAAGTGATGGATGGCAGTGAGACCACAGCCCCTAATGGAAGTTAGGGCAGCTTCCCCCACTGAAATGTTCTTTAGTTGGAGCTGATAACCTCAGTGTTAGACAAAAATTGTGCAACAAACACCTGAGCAATAATTTGTTTTCTTTTTTGAAATTGGCATGTATTCTGCAAAGACCTGTCTTAGGCCTGTTTCACCCCATCTGCTAAACGTGATGCATAGCCTGTATCAACCAGAAGAACCCATCTCCAAAAACATCAGTGCTGATATTCAAAGACCAGAGTGTTAGAACCAAAACCAGGTCTTGTATGATTACATACCTCAGACATCAGACAGAGCAATGGTGGCACAGGCTGAGTATGACAATGGTTCATACGTTTGACACAAAAGTAAACAAATTCATGGAAGCTTTCAGGAGGAAAGCCTTGCATGGTCAAGGGTAAAGTTCAATTGACAATAAAAGCTCCCTAATGGCCTCATAGGGCACCAGCTCCAAATGGATCTGTAGAAGAATTTTTGGGATGAAACATCTGCCAGAAACATTGCCAATCCCATTACTACTTTCCTTTCCTAGTGCAAATGGAAGGTACAGCTGTCTGAAGGTGCTTTTTATTTTCATAAAAATTCTAAAAAATGAATAAATCTGGCATGGTGGCTCATGTTGATAATCCCAGTCATTTGGGAGGCCAAAGCGGAAGGACTGCTTGAGGTCAGGAGTTTGAGACCAGCCAGGGCAACATAGCAAGAACTCCATTTAAAAAAATAAATAAATAAACTTGGAGAGTTTTTGGTTTTCAGAAATTAAAGTCAGAAATTTCATTAGTACCAGAGATTAAAAATTAAAGCCTACCACCAAACCAAAACACTACTTATATAAGCAACCTGGCCATAAAAGACCCAGAAAGTAATTCTGAGGACTGATGTATCAAGGAGCCAAATGAATTCCTTGACCATTTCTATTTGGCCCAGGTGCCATGAGATACAGCATTCAGGCCAGATGTGGAGGCTCACACCAGTAATCCTAGCACTTTGGGAGACCGAGGTGGGCAGATCATGAGGTCAAGGGATCGAGACCATCCTGGCCAACATGGTGAAACCTCATCTCTACTAAAAATACAAAAATTAGCTGGGCGTGATGGTGGGCACCTGTAATCCCAGCTACTCAGGAGGCTGAGGCAGGATAATGACTTGAACCTGGGAGGTGGAGGTGCAGCGAGCAGAGATTGCACCACTGCACTCCAGCCTGGCAACAGAGCAAGACTCCATCTCAAAAAAAAAAAAAAAAAAGAGAGATACAGCATTCAGAGGAAGTGTTCATTTTTAGAGGATCATATGGGAGAATGAAGCCTGGCAGTGATTTCTTTTCTAATAAAGCTATAGACTCCATGAAAACTATAGGAATTCCTGGCCTTAAATAATTTATTACTTGCCAATGTAGCTCAAGATTTAAATTATTCAGGATCCAAGTGGCTTAAAGAAATACTAACTTAGTAAATGTCCCATCACTGATTTTCACCCTTCACAAAGCTGCCAGAGACAACTTGCTTTGACATTTGAATGGACCACTCTTGGAAATTGTCCGAACTCAAACTCAGAACCATTGGTGGTTCTGCCCTGAAAAATAAAGAGTATGCTCTCTAACTGGCTGGTATGAGCCAGCCTGGGGACCACTTTACACCGGAGCTCAGCACGCTCAGGTGCTGACTGCCAGTGTGACCCCGTTACTCCTGAAACAGCTGTAAGTTAAGAGCGAAAACAATGAAGATGAGACATCAAAATATAGGCCAGAAGTGGAAAGTAAGCGTTCTGCAAAATGGAAGTCTAGAATAAGTCTTGGCTCACTTGCTACAAAAGATGACTTGAAGATAGAGCACTTTTGGGGTAACAGTGTTCAAAATGCAATTGTTGAGAAATCTGAAGTTCCTTGATACAAAGACATGTCTGGTATTTTACTAAAGAGACACTATTAGAGTGAAGAGGTTCCTTGAGCCTGACTCATAGCAGGTGGGAATAATTTCTCTTCAGTTTAACATCTACTGGCTTTATAGCAGCTTATCTCTACATTCAGAGAACAAGATTACAAGTTATGGCTCCTAATATCCATACCCTAAAATCGATAGAGGCAGAAAGGCATCTGAAAACATACATGTCAACGGCTCAAAGTCATCACAGTACTTCTTGCTGTGCAGACCCTCCCCTGGCCACCAGCAGCGCTGGGGCGGCAGATGCGATGCTCACAGCATGTCTCAAAG